TTCTTCTTCCTTCGCTTCTGCTATATTTTCGCCATGAGACGATGCAACTTCGAGTTGCGGTATCGAATATTCTTCCTGTTCATCATCAAGTGACACTGAGCTAGTGAAGAGATTAGTTTTCATATTGATGGGTTTATTTGTGTACAATGTGTTTTCGCCATCAAAAAAGTATGAAACGTTTTTGAATAATTCATCCCCCCTTTTCCTTTCAAGCTCTCTAAACACTTTGCGTTTGATTTCTATTTTCGGAGGTTTTGGCTCTCGTCGCGTATCGGCTCGCTTATCGGCTCGCTTATCGATAAGCATATCAGAACCTCCCTCAGGCAAAACAAAAGCTTTCTTGATTTCGACCGCATATTTGAGCCATTTTGCATTTTTTGGATATTTATTCATTGAAAAATAGTTGACGTAATGTGTGGCTTTTTGACCCTTGGTCCCGTAGCCAGGTCGTTGATAAACTACAATTTCGGACATCTTATAGGTATTTTATTTGTGGCCTCTTATTAATGAGGTAGTTGCTTGTTATGTTTTAATTATTTGTTTTTTTTGTCTAATTACTGAGAACAAAGAAAATATTTTAAGGACGATAAAAGTACGGGCATATAGTATAGCAACTATATAGTTTATTTCAGAACATAAGGAAACACGCACACACAAACGACAAACTAACCGTCTTAATCTTCTTAATTAGCCGCAGTGTGAAGTAGAGTGGAAGAAGGTGGCCTTAATATAAATGTGATTGATTAAACTGCGCTATAAATCTAATAAATCTAGTTAGATTCCGGAATTTGACATCCGTAGCCACCGCAGTCAGCACACATTTTCTATAAAATTCCCAAGAAAATGATCTTCTCAATCTTAAATTTTTTTTTATTTTTATGGTGTAACGGTAAAAAGACAATACAAGCCTGTCAATGAGTATATCGATATCACTAGATGATTAATTTTTGAGAGTCTGCTAGCTACATTGATCTTTGCACATAATCCACTAATCAAATCGCAAGATCAATGAATTCAAAATAAAAGTTCACGTGATCAGAAAAGATTGCCGATCACATGCTGTTAGGGTTATATAGTTTCTTTGTATCGGATTTGTTTTGCCGGGTTGATCAAAAAATTTTTTCATTTTCATTGGTAGTTCGATATTGCGTAATCAATTCATCCAAAATAGCCTGTATCTCGAAATTTTGCCTATGGAACCACTTTTTATGTTCTAACAAAAAATGTTCCTTACGAAATTTTTATTGTATTTACTGCACTGGGCGTATAATAATATATTCTCAACGCTGAGCCAAAATCTTATTTTCACCGTAATTGAAATTATATTAATATTTCGCATCTCGCGATTTGATTCTTAAAAAACACATGATCTGCCCAATCAGCGATTTTGATTTTTCATAACTTCGGGGGAAATTAAGCTTTCTTTTTAATAATAAAGGTGAGACCAGCCACCTTGTCACTACGATCATTGTCAGGTAAATTTTTCCTGCGCAAACCCGGCAAACAAATCCGACACAAGAAAATGAATATGTGAGAAATAGGTATTAACGTTACGGTGGGATCAACAAAATTTGAAATTTAGACTTACTGTGCATAATTTTTTGCAAATATTCCAAATACAGTAATTTTTTAATTAGCCAATATGTTTTCAGAATCACACCTCCAATATTTCGTTAGAAAAAGGGTGCATTAATCGAAGAAAGATGAATTAAACATTGGGTATAAATTTAACATTTTCTTTTAAGTCGATATAAGATATAAAGAGGTAGTTGGGTGATTCGGTTTGTTGAGATAGATTCACTATAGCTATTTCTGGCGCTATTGAAATTTAATCAATTTCCGAGGTTTGACTGTAATATGATTCGCGTATAGGGCGAAAAGACTAAATATTAATAATTCATTTCGAATTAATTGTATTACCAAATTCAATATCGATATCAAAATTTTTTCGTGTCCAAAAATATATACTGATACACATTTTTTTTGGATGTAATATTACAGGAAAGGAAAAGGTCATATGAAAATAATAATTTTGATGTTTGAGTGAGTCAAAGATCATCATACAGACCTTTTGTTTGTAATACTATTCTCGCTCTTATTGGATATCGTTAGAACACAAGTTTCGAATACAATACCGGGTGTCTGTTTCGCAGAATAACACCACACACTCCCTCCCGTGTACTCGCATTATCGAGCTAAGAAAGAAAAAAGAGTAGTGAGTGTGTATGGGTATATAGCGTCGTAATAGTGGATCATAGTGCGCGGCTAACTAAGAGAAACAAAAAACACAAAAAAAAAACAAAATAAGTCGTATCGTTAAATTTAACAATAAAGAATTAGAAGCGCTTTCACCACAACGTAGTGTGTACAACGTTCAGGTTTCTACCAAACGGCAGCAATATGTCGACCAGAAGCAGCAGGAAAGCAAAGTCCCTTAACGGCAAGTCAATAATACCTCGCGAAAAACAAGAACAGAAAGTGGTGCTTGACCCTATTTCCTTAGTGTCACCCGGCCAAACAATACACAATAACAACAATACGATTGCAAAACTACAAAAAGATTCTGCGTTCGAGCCTTTTTCTGAAGACTCTGACGGATTCACTGAACGGCTTGCTAAGCGAACAGAGGTTCCCGCTTCTACTGTAGATAATAATAACAATAGTAACAATAATAATAATAATATCGTCAACCAAGAAAATACCGTGCAAGATCTAACAGTGGAAATAAATTCTCTTGGAATATATTCGGATTTTGATACTGAGAAGCACGTAAAAGAATCTGAGAGCGAGGTAAAGTTATTATCGATTTGTTCCTGAAATAATAAAAGCAAATCAATGTATTATATAATCGTCGGCAATTTAATTTTATAATAAATGACCAAGCAGAGTGAGCGGAAACAAAACGAGGAAGATTCGCATAATATGATGATTGAACAAACACAACAGGAGACCATCGAATCTGTTAAATCTGAGCCTGATGATGATAAACCTGTATCAGCTAGACTTCGACAAAGGAATAGGTGAGCATAATAGAAAAAACATTATCATGACTATCATCATCATTATCATAATTATCATCATAATCATTCGAGGATTCAGACATTCTATGCTTTTTTTTGGTAATTTGCAACAAAAAATAAGCACTAGCTATCCCCCTAGTGTTTACGGAAACGGTAGAAAACCACGAAAAAAATCGATAGTTGGTAAAAAGCTACGGTATAAGTCGACGAGTAGTCGACATCAATCTAGAACACAGTCCGCAACTGAGAATGAAGCGGACGAAGAAGACGAATCTACGTTTGTTGGATCTAGTTATAATAATCATCCTGATAATAACGATAATTTAATATTAGAAGATGAAAAGACAACTAATCTCTTATTTCAACCTGAAGAAGTGGCGGTAGAAACTGCCCCGTTCGTTGGAAATGTAACGGAAACAAAGGAAGAATATTCGATACCGCAACTCGAAGTTGCATCGTCTCATGGCGAAAATATAGCAGAAGCGAAGGAAGAAGAA